TCCAGATCAAAATAAATAATTATTACAGCTTATAAGTCTGGGAAGGATTGCAAAGAGATTTCCAAACAATATGGAGTCCCTCATTCCATGGTAAGAAAGATAGTCTTCAAATGGTGAAAATTCAAGATTATTGCCAATCTTCCCGGCAGTGGCTGTCCTACCACATTCTCCCCAAGATCTGTCCATATGAGATGCCTAGGAGTCTCAAAGAGCCCCACGGTTGCATCCAGGGATCTACAGGCCTCTTTTGCTATTGTAAATATCAGAATTCATGACCGTGGTGAGTTCACCATCAGGAAAAGATTGATTATGAATGGCTTTCATGGAAGGATAACCAGTAGGAAACTCCTCTCCAAGAAGAACATTGTTGTAAAACAGCACTTTAAAAAAATACTTCTGGAACAAAGTGCTCTAGAGTCAAAAGTTGAGCTGTTTTGCCATAATGCAAAAATGTCATGTTTGTTGAACATCAAACACTGCCTTTGACAGTGCATGAAGATGGAGGCGCGCATGGACGCAGCGGCTTCATTAGCTCTCAAACAATGGTGCTTTTTGTTCGTTATTCTTACGCTTTTTGTCACGTTATTTACTCAAAACACTGAAGCTTACTTCTCCTACGACCGGAAAACATTACTGGACATCAGAAACAATTGCAGGGATTTCTCCTTTAGTTCGCTCGACCTGGATTACATCAGTTCGTCCATCCTCTACACCGCAGACCTGGAAGCCGCGGAGCCACCAGACCATGACCGCTGGGAGAGGAGACAGCACAAGCGGTACGAGCACAAACAGAAACGCGGTAAGAGAGCCGGGCTGCAAATAAGACTAAAAGAACAGCAGAACAGACCACCTATACCCAGCCTGTTCCTCGCTAACGTACGGTCCCTAAACAACAAACTGAACGAAATAAAACTCAGGCTCACTACTCGCCAGGAAATAAAAGACTGCTGCACTCTTGTGTTAACGGAAACGTGGCTTCACAACAACATACCGGACTCCGCCATTCAGCTGGATGATTTTTTAACTCTCCGATCGGACAGAACAGCCGCCTCTGGTAAAAATAAAGGAGGAGGTCTGTGTATTTATGTCAACCAAGCATGGTGCAGAGATACTACAGAAATCGCTATCCACTGCTCACCCGACTTTTTAATGGTAAAATGCCGACCCTTCTACCTACCTAGGGAATTCACGTCGGTCATTATTACTGCTGTATACATACCTCCTAACGCTAATGCTAAGGAAGCAGTCAAAACGCTGTCCAAAGCTATTAGTAAACAAGATTTAGCACACCCTGATGGTGTTTTTATTATTGCAGGTGATTTTAATCAGGGAAATCTGAAATCAGTCCTGCCTAGCTACAACCAACACGTTGACTGCCCCACCAGGGGAAACAACACACTTGACCTTGTTTATACTAATGTACCCAGTGCTTACAAAGCAGTACCTCGCCCCCCTCTTGGACAATCTGACCACATCTCCCTGTTCCTACTCCCAGCCTACAGACGACTTCTCAAACGCACCAAGGCTCCAGCTATAACTGTAAAAACATGGACCAAAGAGGCAGAATCAATGCTTCAGGACTGTTTTGAGTGCACAGACTGGAGTGTGTTCAAAGATGCAGCCTCCCATGGATCCCACACCGATATTGATATGTATGCATCAGCAGTCACTAGCTACATCAGCAAATGTGCTGATGATGTGGTGAGCGTTAAAAAGATACGCAAACTCCCGAATCAAAAACCTTGAATGAACACTGAGATCCGCTCCCTGCTCAAAGCCCGTGATGCAGCCTTCAAATCTGATAATGAGGAAGAACTGAGAGGGGCTAGGAACAAATTATGAGCTGGCATAAAATCTGCCAAGAAACAGTACAAATCCCAGATAGAACACCACTACAACACCAACACTAACCCACGACGCATGTGGCAAGACATAAATACAATCACAAGCTACAAGAGCAAAACAAGCCCTGTAAGCGCTACTGACCCCTCTCTTCCAAACAAGCTTAACACCTTCTACGCACGCTTCAAAGCTCAAAACCCTGAACCAACCACCTGGACTACTGACTCCCCTACCACACCACCCCCAAACTATCTAAGCTAGATGTGTGGAAATCACTAAGTAGAGTGAACACACATAAAGCTGCTGGACCTGATGGTATCCCTGGCCTGGTACTCAGAACATGTGCCTGGCATATAGCTGATGTCTGTACCGACATCTTCAACATGTCCTTGGCCCAGGCCACTGTACCTAGCTGCTTCAAGACAACCACCATCGTGCCAGTACCAAAAAAATCAGCCCCCACATGCCTAAACGACTACCGCCCTATTGCACTCACCCCCATCATAATGAAGTGCTTTGAAAAACTACTTATTCCACACATTAAAGCCAGCATTCCAAAAACACTGGATCCTCTCCAGTTCGCCTATCGCACAAACCGCTCCACAGAGGATGCAATCTCTATAGCTTTACACACCACACTAACCCACCTGTATAAAAGGAACACCTATACAAGTATGCTGTTCATTGACTTTAGCTCAGCATTTAACACCATCGTACCCATAAAACTTTCTACCAAACTCAGGGCTCTTGGTTTAGATACAATGCTCTGCAGCTGGATCCTAGACTTCCTCACCAGCAGACCCCAGACTGTCAGGATTGGCAACCTCACCTCCAACATACTCACCCTTTACACCTGTGCCCCTCAAGGCTGTGTGCTCAGCCTACTGCTTTACTCCCTGTTCACCCACGACTGTACTGCTAAGTTCAGCACAAACACCATCATCAAGTATGCTGACGATACCACAGTCGTGGGCCTGATCACTGACAATGATGAGACTGCCTACAGGGAGGAGATAAAACAACTTGCAGACTGGTGCCGAACCAACAACCTATGTCTCAACATCAGCAAAACCAAAGAGCTGATTATTGACTTCAGAAGACAAGGAAAAGTTCACTCCCCCATCTACATAGATGGGTCTGCGGTGGAGATGGTGAATAACTTCAAATTCCTAGGCGTTCACATTTCTAAGGACCTTACATGGATACTAAACACCCCCAGTCTCATTAAGAAGGCACAACAGCGGCTGTACTTCCTGAGAAGGCTGAAGAAAATACACCTACATCCACTGATCCTCACAAACTTCTACAGATGTACGGTGGAGAGCATACTGACCACCTGCATCACAGTCTGGCACGGCAACTGCACCGCATCCGACCGTAAGGCACTACAGCGGGTGGTCAAAACTGCCCAACACATCATCGGCAGTGCCTTACCATCCATCCAGGAAATATACAACACCAGGAGTCTGAAAAAAGCCACCAAAATTATGTCTGACCCCACTCACCCCAGTCATAACTTGTTTATTCCCCTACCATCTGGCAGAAGGTTCCGGTCACTCCAGTCGCACACAACTAGACTCCAAAATAGCTTCTTCCCCAGAGCTGTCAAGTTGGTGACGCCCCCACTCCCTTCCACATTATTATGATCTCTCCTAACGTCCTCCTGTACCCACAACGACTGTACTCCTACACCACCACACACATGTAAGCCGAAATTGTACTGTCCCCTCGATAGCCCAGTAAAACTGTAACAGGCATAATAATATTTAAAGGAACAAGTAATAGGTTTATTCCATGCTGAAAAAAAGAAGAAAGAGAACACAACGTTTCGGCCGTGAAGCCGAAACTTTGTGTTCTCTTTCTTCTTTTTTTCAGCATGGAATAAACCTATTACTTGTTCCTTTGCAGCCTACGCATGCTGACGCAGCTACCCACCTGAACTAATAATATTTAATATTTATTAATTAACCATACTACTTTTAACCATACTATTTTTTGCACTGTTCCAAGAATTACCTTGCACTGTTTTTGTCCTGTTATATTTTCTCTGTTTGCGGAATTTTGCAGTTTTGATTACTTGATTACATGTTATTTATGTTATGTTATTACATGTTACTGTTATTGCTATTGTGTAACTGTTTATTGTCTTATCTTCTGTCCTATTTACTGTATATACTGCACCTGAGTGACTAATGAGAAACACTTTTCATTATACTATGCACCTGTGTAAGTTTAATGACAATAAAGTTGAATTGAATTGACCAGAAGAACCTCATTCCAGCCTTCAAACATGGCAGAAAGAGAGTAATGGTTTGGATCTCCTTTGCTGCCTCAGGACAAGGATGCATTTCTATCATTGAGTCTAATGTGAATTCCACAGTATACCAGGCTAGTCATTCAAGCAAACACACAAATAAATTCACAAAGAATGTCTCAAAATGAAGAAATTCAGGATTTGTAAAAGGGCAAGTGGAAGTACAGACCTGAACTCCATAAAGATGCTATGGACACAGCTGTCACCGAATAAGCAAATTCACTTAATTGTCACACAAATAATATTGAATGTTGGCTGACTTACTTGACATAAGTACAATTGTTGAACAATATTTGTCAAGTGACGTTAGTTTTATCTACTACTAGGACTTGGTCGGGACTAGGTGAAAGTTAAATATGTCTAAATATGTTAGACCATAAAAATTAAGGGAATTACTTTTTTATCACATTGTAATGCTGTCTCAAACACACTTCAACCTCACTTGTGTTTCCTCTGCATATTATCTTGCAATTTACTGGGTATATTGTGTTGAATTATTGAATGGTGTGTGGTAATGAAATGTGTAGTATTTGTAAATCTGTAATTCTTATTTATTTATTGTGTTGTATATTTTAAATGTATAAAATTAATGTTTAGAATTATTCTATTATTCTATTTTTTTCATTCATTTTTATTTTGTTTTTCTCACCCTAAACAAGGGAAATTTCCTTTCTTGTTCTCTGTACTTCATGGACTTTTAACAGCTGCCATATTCTCTCTCTTGCTCTCCACCCCCCTCCTTGATGAGCACACACATCTGTTAACCATTAAAGGACAATAAATGATGGTGAGCCTGCCATTCTGGTCTCCTGTCCCTCCTTGCTCACTCACAGACAAATGAAACCTAGGACAAATAAGGTATGATTGCTACAACATCGTGAATGGCTATTTGTATTCACACAACAGGTAGGAAATGGTCAATTTCCCACATATACAGTATATGATCAGGGTTTAGTAAAGACTTGCACAACCGAGCTCTCACAAAACTCAGCAAGTGGGTGTATTCAAAAAGTGCAGAAAGCCGGTGGAAAATGTCTCGATACTTCAGTCAATATATCTAAATATTTGCTAGTATTTACTTGAATAAATTCCTCGTGACCTCTTTAACACGAAGAAGGGAAGTGACTGGTGTACAGATCCCAATACTACAGAAGTACAGAGTACAAGATTCTACAGGACATGACAGCAATTGGTCTGAAAAATCATTTGACCAAGCACCTGTAACTCGGGTCTTACACATGACATGTAGTCATGATTGGCTTTTGTGTTCTAACTATAAGACAATCAAGTCACAACTACAACACACAAAGAATAAAAGTCAAGAACTAAATGTACTGTACTGAAGAAATGTTTGTTGAGTGTTTAGTCATAATAAATTTGGTTTAACCTGCTTGGCTGAGTGCTGAGTGAGGAGTAAACCAAGGGATAGCTTCAGAGGTGGAGATAGGGTGGATGAAGGATTAAAAAGACCAATGTGAAGGAGAAAAGAGGCTTGTGTATAGTATTTAGGATGTTTTTTAATGTGGGAAATGATGTCAGAAATGATTACAATTTATATTACAATACAGCTGGGAACAATTGAACAATCCCTCTCTTCGTTGCAAACTCCATTTATCCTTGCTGAAATGTTATTTCTTCAGATTAAGATAGTTTGTTTTTTACAACAAAGCTAAAGATATATTTACAAGATAGATATACATATGAAATGATTAATTATAATGTGTATTGTATTTATGGCACAAATATATTTTTTTAACTTGATGAATGTGGTTTGCCTTACTTTATAACGTGAGATTTCATGCAATACTACAGTTCTAAAACTTTAAAGTTCCCTCAGATTCCGCCTTGTTTTTAAGCTGTAGGGGGCTAATTTGATTTTTATAGAAAATAGCTACAAGTAATTTCATAGAGTATCAGAGAATGTACTGAACGAAATCAATATTCCCAACATTAGCATTGAGTCATGTTGTCTGTAGACACTTTATATTTTCTGTTATTAAAAGGAATACATTTGTTTTTTTGCAAAATTACCTACCTTACAAAAGGGTAAGATTACAATATCTAAGCAGCTGTATAACGTATATAGCTTATATAGAGCTCTCCCCTCCTTTTATATTAAATTATTCACCACAATCTATTTAATAGGACAAACCACCCATTTGACTTGAGTAATAATACCTACAGTGCATTATCAAATATTTACTAGCATGTTACATTTCTACAAATAAGAATAATCATTATATAGTAGATCCCATGTTTGCAGTGAGTGATTTTCTTGTGTATCAGGTTTTAGTTTTAATTTATAATAATGGTATGCAAAAAGGGTATACACATGGTGAATTCAATGTTTCCAATAGATACAGTAAAACATTTTTTACCAAAAATTTTGTTAAAGTCTGAAGCCTTGACCTCTCACCTCTATTGTTTTTTTTTGTACTTAATGAAAACTACTTGCTGCAGAATTTCATCAAAGTTGGATTGCATTTAGAGGGAGCATATCAACTTTGAAGTTGATAATATTTTTGCTTGATCTACACCTTTCCATGTTATCTTGTAATATTTCATATGATTGCCCATAAGAGGTGTTAAACCCTTGTGTTTTCTTGTGCAGTATGACGCTAACATACAGTAGATATTAATTGTTTAGGCTCTTTACCTTTTTATCACTGCCACCATCTCTTTAAATGTTAATCAGCAGCTAATTAATTTCTACAATGTCACAGTAAGTTGAAATGTTGATTGCTCTTTGAGTTTACTATAAGACTTTACTTTTGATTACTGCACATCACAAAGTGTGACTCAATTCTGAAAACAATATTTGTCAACATTTGTCATTAAAGTCCACACACTACAGGAGTCCAAAGGAACAGTCCACATACAGAAGAAGATCATAGAGCAGCTTTCTGATCTTGAAGTGACCAGGAAGCATGATGCATTTGTCCTATAACAGAATTAAGGCTTTTTTAATGCCTTGGGTTTCCCTGAAGGTTCTTCCACAAGGATATAGTGTTCTGGCTTCAGGACTGAAGCTATATTATTGGTAAAATGAATGAAGGTCCTCAGTAATAATGTGGAGAGAGGCATGGTTCTGATTCAGGAATTTAATGACCACCTTACTTCCAACAAGGAAACAAAACTGTTCATGCTCCATGTTGTTTTTCAACATGGACTGAAAAAGCTCATTCTGCGAAATCCCATATAATTTCAGTCTTGCAGTTAAATACAATTTGGTCACAACAAAAGGTTGTATTTCAGTAGCATTTACATACATTTTGACCATTGATCAGTTTGTTCTATACTTATCTATTGTTCTATGAACTACTTAGGAAAAGAAGCCTTTATTCATTAGTATTGTTTCATTAAATTTCATGGGTATTGTTTTCTAGTGAAACATGATATAATAAAAAGTATGAGATTTATTATTATAATTATAATACAAAAAATTAATTATAATATGACATGTTCATAATACTTTAATAGATTTTAACTTAATTGTATGGGTTTGAGAGTTCAAATTATCCATGTATGTAACATGCTCTAAAAGTGTTGAATTGCAAAGATTCAGGGAATGGAGGACTTAAGATTAATTTTATACTCATATAAATCTGCATTCAATTGCTTTATGAGATGAAGAGAAGTTGGCTGACAGAGAACATGACAAGATTACATTCATCGTTTTACTAATACTGTACAGCATATATTTTAAAAGGCATTACTTTATATTTTGTATAAAAATGCTCATGAATTGTGGTACTGTATTTATATGTCTCAACCTATTTATTATGTCTTGCTTGGAAGTTTGTGTAAATTATCCTTATGATTGGTCCTACGTATTTGTATGCAGTTTATTTGCTTATTAATTGACTGTCAACATTTATTCACTCATGTTTATCTATAGAAGTTGTTTTTTATTTGGGGATAAAGGTCTTATCAGATGAATTACAATTTTGATTTTATTGTATTTCTGGTGTAAAATTCTGAAGAGCAAGCATTCTCTAACTAGTGTGATTTATTTTTGTATTATTAACTTATTGCTTGGTAATTTGTTCAAAAAGTCTTGTGTTATTTATGTGACCTGAGTAATTATATTTGCTTATAACCTTTTTATGTAGAATGAAAAAAGGTAGTAATTTAGTTTGGCTTGGAATGAAGGGGATTGGATTTTTAAAGTGTTATGCATTAAAGGAATTAGTGCAATCTTATGAAGTTCCAAAGGAATGAACATACAGACATGAACCAAACGTGTACAGTAATTTGGTTTATGGTTGCCTTTTTTTTTCTTTGCAATTTCATATTTCAATTAATTACTAAGATACTTCGCTATTTTGTATTAAGATATATTTAGATTTTATTATTTGAATCTTGGCATCTTCAAAGGCTTGCAGAACAGTTTTGGAAACATTTTTTAAATGCAGAATGATACCCAATAGAATTATATTTTATACTAAACTAAAGACAATCAAGTTACTTAAAATTTGTCATAATTTCAATGCATTCTCGTGTCTCCAAGACTGTGGTGTTAAAACACACTGAAGCATTAGAAACCTTTTGTAGACTATTGCAAGACAGAAGGTGGCTGACAAATGTTGTAACCAATCAAGTAACAAATAACATTTGAATAAATTAGTACAAGATGTCAAGTCCTGGGGTGCTAACTCTGTGGAGTTTGTATGATCTCCCTGTGTTGGGGTGGGATTCCTCCAGGGCTCTAGTTTCCTCCCACAGTCCAAAGACATAATGGTATGTTAATTGACTTCTGGGAAAACTGGCCCTTGTGTGAGTGTGTGCTTGTAAATGTCTGTGTATCTGCCCTGTGACTGGCATCCTGTCCAGGGTGTAACTTGCTTTGTGTCTGTTTGCTGGATAGACTCTGGCTCCCCTGTGACTCTATATAGGATACAGTAATTAGAAAATGGAAAGATATTTTTAAGTACAAGCAAAGGGTTTTTAAAACTTTTTACATCACTAAAATTTAAAATTGTCAGAATGGGCTGTGGAAATGTGTTTTATTACGTCAAAGGTTATTTTCAATATGGCTTATTTTCAATAGCTGCTCACTATTACAGCTGAATAAAAAAGAAGAGGGGTGGCTGGATGATTGGAATTAGATGTTATTGGTACTGTCACCTCATATGGTAAATGCCTTTTGAATAAATGTATTACTGACTTCTCTTTCTTAAGGATTTTGTTTCAGCAAGATTTTACCTATCAAGATTAACTTCTGCCTGGATTGCAAAACTGAAAAGGTATTTGCATAGATACAATTGTAAATAAATTTATCATTTGAAAAAAGAAATTATGAAGATTTATTACAAAAGGTTTGATAAAGTTGAGGATGATGATGATAATAATATCAGATAGGAGATGAATAAGCATGGTGACTCATAATTCCTGTTTTCAGTAAATCACCAAAGATATCAATTGGAAACCCAATATTTAATTATGGTGATATTCCACACTATAATCAGATTTCAGTTAATCACATTAAGTTGATCTATTTCTACAGAACATATGTCTCCTGTTAAACAGATGCTTTTATCATTTATCCCCTTGAAAGCCATGGAACAAGATATTATTGCACCACAGGGAAAGCTAAAGAGATGTTTCAAATGTTCCAGCATTTTTTGTGTATGCTCCTTAAAAAAGCGTGCCTTGACTGTCTAGTCACAAGGATAGGAAAAACTTGTGCAGAAAGCATCTTTAAAAGGAGTATCAGTTTCTTTGACAATTTTCTAAGGGTAACAGACACTAGAAATATCCTTGCCCAGACGGATTGGCTGACATCCTGATGTCATCTTAAAGATCAATTTCTTTGAATGTATGTTTTATCATTTAAGAAGCCATTTTGGATACTCTTGAAATCAGCTGGTCCTGCTTTGAAGTGTAAAGTAGTTCTGTACAAGCTC